CTTTGTACTCATGGGGATGACCATAAAGCGACAAAGAGGGACGAAGAACAACACGCTTCCGAGTAAAAGTCATAGCACAAGTCTTAGATGTAGAGAACCTGAAGCCATGATCGGTGGCCCAAGACGACACGGCATCAATTGCAAGTTGAAGCCGGTGCTGAAGGAGAGGCGAATCATCACTCTGACAGCAAAGGGTAAGATCATCGACATAGAGAGCGGAGAAGACACCTGAAGGAAGAGAGGAAAGAAGACCATTGAGGGCAACCAGAAAAAGAGTAGTGCTCAGAACACTACCCTGGGGCACACCTTCGTATTGCTGAAAAGAGGCAGAGAGAGCGGTACCAAGCCGCACCCGAAAGGAACGACGAGAGAGGAAGCTGCGGAGAAAGAGAGGGAGATGACCACGAAGGCCAAAAGAATGAAGCTGGGATAGAATATGATATCGCCAAGTGGTGTCGTAAGCCTTTTCCAGGTCAAAAAGGACGGCAACAACGGAGGTCTTCGCAGCAAAAGCAGTACGAATATAGACCTCCAAGTTCACCAGGACATCTGTCGTGCTGCGGCACTTGCGGAAACCAAATTGAGAAGGGGAGAGGTGGTGATGGTGTTCTAAGAACCACATCAGACGAATGTTAACCATACGTTCAGAGTTTGCAGACACAACTTGTGAGGGCAATAGGGCAGAAGTCCTTAGGGCATGTTCCCAGAGACCCTGGTTTGCAAACAGGGAGGACAATGGCATCGAGCCAGTCCTCAGGGACTGACGACTCGCAGATCCGATTATACAAACTCAGTAAATACTGAGACATGCACGGAGGGAGATGGCGAAGCATCTCATAATGAATGCCATCGGATCCCGCCGCTGTAGAACCGCAGAAGACCAGGGTAGACCGAAGTTCAGAAAGAGAGAAGGGATCGTTATAGGGAAGTCGAAGATGAGTGCAGAAATCTAAAGGACAAGATTCAATGACAGGTTTATGAAGAAGGAAAGATTGGAGAAGATGAAAACCAGAGCTAACAGAAAAAAAGTGGGAACCCAGTTCGGTAGCAACCTGCAACGGGTCCGCCACAAGAGTACCATGGAGGTGAAGGACCGGTGAGACATCGGGAACGAACTTACCCGCTATCTTGCGGATACGCTTCCAGATCTGCGGCAGAGGAGTTTCGGACGTAATGGTGGAGACATAAGACGCCCAACATTCACGTTTAGCTGTACGGATGGCCCTACGGGCCACCGCACTCGCCTTCCGAAACAAAAGAAAAGAATCGGCCGTCTGCCGGCGGCAGTGTCTCTTCCAGGCTGCACGCTTACAGAGGACAGCCCGAGCACAGTCTGCATTCCACCAGGGAATGCACTTCCGTGGACCCCGAGAGGAATAGAGCGGAGGGCAGCGTCGAAGACAGTGTCATGAAAAAGGAGGAGAGCAGGAAGGGCAGAGGAGAGGTCAGAGAGAGCAGCACTGAGGGTAAATAGGTTCCAGTCTGCTTTAGCAAACTGCCACCTAGGGAAGGAGAGGGAAGGGCGAAAAGAGAAAAAGGTAACAAGGATGGGGAAATGGTCACTGCCATGGAGGTCATCAAGAACCTGCCACGTGAAATCTAAGTAAAGAGAAGACGAGCAAAGAGAAAGATCAAGACAGGAAAGGGTGCGAGTCCGAGAGTCCAAATGCGTGGGCTCACCAGAATTCAGAAGAGACAGGGAAGAAGAAAGGATAAACGGCTCAAGAAGGCGACCCCGGGTATTCGTCAGAACATCACCCCAAAGGGAATGACGACAATTGAAATCACCCAGCAGGAGCACAGGCTGCGGCAAGGAGTCCAGTAGGTGTTTCAAATTGGGAAGAGAAAGCGGGATACTTGGGGGAAGATAAATGGAACAAACGGTGGTACCATTTCCCCACAAAGATACGAGCAGCAGAACAATGGAGAGGCAAAGGAAAAAAGTAAGGGGACAAAGGGAACATCAGAGCGAATCAAGAGAGCAGAAGAGTTAGGAGCCCCAGCAACTGGGGGGGGGGGGGAGAGAAAGGAATAGCCACGAAAACGACCAGGACGAGCACCAAGCATCGGCTCCTGGAGACAGACACAAAGGGGCGAAAACCGCGAAATCAGAAGTTGGAGTTCGAGGAAATTGGCGTAATAACCACGAACGTTCCATTGAAGAATAGACATCGACGAGAAGAGAAAGGACAGCAACAGAGAACAACAAAGAAACAAAGGCGAAAAGGGAACACAGCACATTAAAGAAGCAGCAGGATCAGGGTCAGCAAAGTCAGGGTTAGGGGGCATGGGTAAACTGAGCAAAGAAGGAGGGAAGGTAGCTAGAGGACCGACCAGGGGCGGACGAAGAGGGTCCGGAGGAGGAAGAGGGAGGGGGGGGAGATAACCGAGGGTCAAGGACAGCAGCAGGAGGGGGGACAGAAACAAGGGAGTGCACCTCAGCAAGGGCACCAACCGAGAGGGAAGCGGGGGCCAAAGAGACCTCCATAGCAGGAACAGGGGGCGCAACCACCAAAATGGGAGGGGAAGGAGCGAGAGAGCCAGAAGTAGGGGCGAGGAAGAAAGCAAAGCCTTTTTACCCGCCGGGGAGGAGGAAGGAGAGGAGCCAGGCTTACGCTTCTGACTCAAAGAGACCGGTGTCCCAGCAACTACGTACCGGGCAACGGATTCCAGCGTCTCAACAGGAGAAGCTGAACGAGAGCACACACGACGGCCGTTAGGAGAGCGATGGACATCCGCCCGCACCGACAGGCGGCGTGGAGAGCCAATAGATGGAGGAAGAGGATGGGAAGGAGGATCGGAGGGAGACGAGGAAGAAGACACAGGAGACATGACAGACCGGGCAGAAAGAAGGGGAACCCCAGACAGAGGACCAGGAGGGGGACCCTTCGGGACAGAACTCAAAGGAACAGAGGAGGGGGCAGTGGGCGTATCAGGGTCCAAGGCCCGGAAACGGTTGTGAGTCTGAGGAAGGAGGGAAGGACGAGGAGAGGAAGAGCGCAACACGCGAGCATAAGAGACGTTAGCATAAGGCGGGAGCCGGCGAACTTGGCGCCTCGCCTCAGGAAAAGATAAATGCTCCCGGTGCTTCAAGTTGAGGACGGCCGCCTCAAGCTTGTAATGGATACACGCACGGGAGAAGGTAGGATGGGCCTCACCGCAGTTGAGGCAGCGAGCCTGGGGAGAAGTGCACTCCGACTTAGAGTGACCTTCACCCCCACACAAAAGTTCAGAGAGAGACAGTCCCAGAGCAGCGGAGGGCACCATGCCCAAACCTCCAGCACTTATTACAAAGCCGAGGAGAAGGAATGTACTCCTGGACAGAGCACCTGGCACCAGCAAGAATGACAGAGGGTGGAAGGGTCCTACCATCAAAGGTGATCTTCACAACACGAAGGGGTTGACGGCGACGACCACGAGGGGGACGAGTAAACGAGTCTACCTGGAGGACAGAATGGCCCTGGGCATCAAGGATATGCCGAATATCTTCGTGGCAATCCTGCAGATTCCGAACACCGGTTGCAACATGGGGCGGGAGGAGAATAGTGCCAACACTGGTATTCAACCGAGCGTTCTTGGAGACCCGAACAGGGATCTCGCCAAGGCAGGACAAGGCAGCCAAGCGGGAAGCTGCATCCTGAGAAGGAGCAGCAACGACACGTGCACCGAGACAGGTGGGGTGGAAAGTAACAGAGGCATCCACGGAATCAAAAAGATGCCTATGAAGGGAGAAATCGTCAGGAGGCGCAGAATCAGGAGGGAGGAGATTAAAGTATTTGACCCACAAAGCGGAACCAAACAAGGCTTGATACGCATCAGTACGGGAAGGAATCGAGCGAGTGCGGCCGTGTCGAGGACGGCGTTGAGAACCCCCAGAGAGAGAGAGGTTAAAAGGCGCAGTGGTCACAACTAAAGACTGAGCCGTGCCAGGGGACGAGGTGGTCACCACTGGGGGCTGGAGGCTCGACCCAACCACAGAGGGAGGGGAGCCAAGGGAAGTAGTCAGAGAGGCCAAAGGAGGAGGAAGGTCGGGGCCCAACGCAGCGGGGACTACAGAGCCTGGTCTTCCAACACAGTCCGACTCGGGGGCTAAGTCGCCCACTCCACGAGCCTGAGAAGGTAAAAAAGGAATAGAATGCGACATAGGTACGAAAAGAAAAACATTCATTCACGAATGTGCCTCTATACCCACCATAGAGCCACAATTAGAGGCAGGACACCCAACAAAAAGCTATCGCCGATCATGCCGGGGCCCCCTAGGGGTGCGTCGTGAGTATACGCCCCACAAATGCCACCTTAAGAACCGTCAGTCCGTCGAGATCGGGTTCAGTGACGAAAGGAGGATCGACAATAAAAGATTCCACCTTGCTCTCGACGTTGGGTACTACAGTTCTACGGGTGCAAGAGTATGCCTCCTCAAGCACCCGGGCGTCAAAATAGAAGAAGTCCAAAAGAATAACCAAAACAAGCAAAAGGTCAGCAGGAAACGACAAACAGATAGGAGAAGAGGGGGGAGAAAAACGAAACATAAGGAAAAGGAAAAGGTGTCCAGCAGAATTAGAGAAGGCAGCAGCAGGAGCACAACCCTGGAAACACAAACCGAAACTGTCTCTATTTTCCGCTTGTTATGACTTGTAATAAAGTTGTTACATCTTGGCTTAACGTGTTTATGATGTATTAGAACGTTGTTACAACTTGCTATATTGGTTGTTATAACTGGTTAGGACGTGTTAAAACTTGTTCGTACGTTGTACCAACGTCGTAGTTTCGGTGTGTGTGTGGCGGGAAGGCGACAAAAGGACAGAGGACTGCCTTAAGGAGCATCACACTCCGGCAGCCGCCCACCAAGCCCCTCCATGGTAACAACGGGCAGCCGCCCACCAAGACCCTCCATGGTAACAACGGGCAGCCGCCCACCAAGACCCTCCATGGTAACAACGGGCAGCCGCCCACCAAGACCCTCCATGGTAACAACGGGCAGCCGCCCACCAAGACCCTCCATGGTAACAACGGGCAGCCGCCCACCAAGACCCTCCATGGTAACAACGGGCAGCCGCCCACCCCTCCATGGTAACAACGGGCAGCCGCCCACCAAGACCCTCCATGGTAACAACGGGCAGCCGCCCACCAAGACCCTCCATGGTAACAACGGGCAGCCGCCCACCAAGACCCTCCATGGTAACAACGGGCAGCCGCCCACCAAGACCCTCCATGGTAACAACGGGCAGCCGCCCACCAAGACCCTCCATGGTAACAACGGGCAGCCGCCCACCAAGCCCCTCCATGGTAACAACGGGCAGCCGCCCACCAAGACCCTCCATGGTAACAACGGGCAGCCGCCCACCAAGACCCTCCATGGTAACAACGGGCAGCCGCCCACCAAGACCCTCCATGGTAACAACGGGCAGCCGCCCACCAAGACCCTCCATGGTAACAACGGGCAGCCGCCCACCAAGACCCTCCATGGTAACAACGGGCAGCCGCCCACCAAGACCCTCCATGGTAACAACGGGCAGCCGCCCACCAAGACCCTCCATGGTAACAACGGGCAGCCGCCCACCAAGACCCTCCATGGTAACAACGGGCAGCCGCCCACCAAGACCCTCCATGGTAACAACGGGCAGCCGCCCACCAAGACCCTCCATGGCAACAACGGGCAGCCGCCCACCAAGACCCTCCATGGTAACAACGGGCAGCCGCCCACCAAGACCCTCCATGGTAACAACGGGCAGCCGCCCACCAAGACCCTCCATGGCAACAACGGGCAGCCGCCCACCAAGACCCTCCATGGTAACAACGGGCAGCCGCCCACCAAGACCCTCCATGGTAACAACGGGCAGCCGCCCACCAAGACCCTCCATGGTAACAACGGGCAGCCGCCCACCAAGACCCTCCATGGCAACAACGGGCAGCCGCCCACCAAGACCCTCCATGGTAACAACGGGCAGCCGCCCACCAAGACCCTCCATGGTAACAACGGGCAGCCGCCCACCAAGACCCTCCATGGTAACAACGGGCAGCCGCCCACCAAGACCCTCCATGGCAACAACGGGCAGCCGCCCACCAAGACCCTCCATGGTAACAACGGGCAGCCGCCCACCAAGACCCTCCATGGTAACAACGGGCAGCCGCCCACCAAGACCCTCCATGGTAACAACGGGCAGCCGCCCACCAAGACCCTCCATGGTAACAACGGGCAGCCGCCCACCAAGACCCTCCATGGTAACAACGGGCAGCCGCCCACCAAGACCCTCCATGGCAACAACGGGCAGCCGCCCACCAAGACCCTCCATGGTAACAACGGGCAGCCGCCCACCAAGACCCTCCATGGTAACAACGGGCAGCCGCCCACCAAGACCCTCCATGGTAACAACGGGCAGCCGCCCACCAAGACCCTCCATGGTAACAACGAGCTAGACAGGGAGGGGGCCCAAACTAGAAGCCCTAGTGACATCTAGCGAGACCTAAGTGAACTACTTAAAAATCTTCCTAAGTATACTTTTCTGAATCGCCCTTTGGCGCGTTCTTAGCCGGTACTTAGGAACCTTCGTAGCACATAGACTTACGAGAAATACACTGAGCTTCATGAATCTTGGTCCCGACGAAGGGTTCGTAACAAATTGCAACGTACAATTTACCGAGTTTAAGTTACTTTCGGACCTAAACAAAGGTAAAGCCACGTGCCCCGGTGAGGATGTTATCACTATGACATATTGCGTTTGCTGCCTTTAATACTAGGAAATTCCGTCCTTGAGCAGAATAATATGAGCTATGTTACTGGGGGAACTTCCTATCTCTTCGACTAACAGTATAATCATTCCAATTCCCAATACAAATCAAGAGAATGGTTTCCACCCAATTTCCCTTATTAGATGCATTTGCAAAACATTTGACAGAATGGTCCTAAACCGTCTCCTCCATAGAATAAGAACCTTGCTATCCCCCCCCCCCCAAGATATATAGCTTCATGCATGGAAGGAGTGTGCATCATTGCATCACCACTATTCTTACTCTTAACACTCCTAACTCTGTATTAGACTCATGTCAGGACCTAGGTTTAGTCATCTCAGCAGAGAAAACAAAGATACACAATCGGCGTCCACCCAGGCAGGGAGGAGCTGTTCGCAAGATGCAACTGTCTGATGGCTCCCAGCTTGACTATGTTAACAGGTTCAAATACCTTGGTCTTGAGGTGCCACTGTATGGTCCTGTTGTATTCAGACTTTGTCGTCAATATCATTATGGAGTCAGAGGTCACTCCCTCCAATATCTTCAGTCTTACCTTACTGACAGGCTCCAGTATGTTTCTGTGAATAATTCCATTTCTCCCACCCAACCCATCAACATTGGTGTTCCTCAGGGCAGCATACTTGGCCCTCTCCTCTTTCTCTTCTACATTAATGACCTTCCAAATGCCTCTCAACACCTCAAACCAATTCTATTTGCTGACGCTACCTAATTGACATAGTGAATACTGAACTACATAAAGTCCATCTCTGACTAACTGCCAACAAACTCAGCCTTAACAATGACAAAACTTTCTATATTTTGTTTGGCAATAAATCCTTAAATCAAATTAATCTAAGAATAAACAATATCAAAGCTAGTAACAGATTCCCTGATCCCTTACAGATTATTAAGATCCCCAACACACGATTAATTCTATGGCACATACTCATACATATTCATCTACTATTGACCACTTGTTCAGTTCACTACTCCCCCCTTTTACCCCTCAGCGACCCTCAACGTCCCGGGGGGACATAACCCGTCCCGACTCATGTGCAAGCATCCCCTTCCCCCTCTCTACCTTTGTTGATGTGCACCTGTCCCACACTTATCCCCCCCCCTCTCCCTCTTACCCATACACCCTCCTTTTACCCCCCCCCCCCCGGCGACAGGACCCGTCCCAATCTACGGACTTCCCGACCCATTTTTGACGTAGGCCGAGTTCGATCCCTGAGGTTCTCCTCGGGTTTGGGACGGTCTACGTCTCACTTTACACTACTTTTACACGTCACGTCAGTCGATCTGGAGGATAGAAAAGTTCTGGACTTCGAGGATATAGTATATTTAAATATCCTCATGGAAGTCTTTAAGGTCTCTATCTCCAGTTGCAACATGGTGTGGGAGAACAACATTGCCAATGCTGGCAACCAACAGGGTAATTTTTGAACACCCAAACCGGAGTCTCAGCAATGCAGGACAAAGTAGCTAGGAGGGTAGGTGCCACCAGAGAAGACTTTTCAACACTCTCCCGCTACACATAAGGAGCAAAACTGGCCGGCCTCTCACAATGTTCAAGAGAACTCGAAAAACACTTCCAAAAAATACCTGATCAACCAGGCTGTGATTCACATGTCAAGCTGTGAGTAGCCGCGTCCAACAGCCTAGTTGACCAGACGACCAACCGGGAGGTCTGGTCAGAGACCTGGCCAAGGGACTGTGGATCACTGGAAGCTACACAAGGTAGATACAAGGTAGACACACGGTAGGTAGGTGCCAGTTAAAATCACCACTGAGAACTTGGGGGATCAACCTAGCAATAGAAGTGGGAGAGGGAACAGAGAAAGTTGAGGTACGGATGAAGCCTGGTATTTTCCGTACCACATAAGTTCCAGCTCATGCGCTACGGAAAAAAATGAAAACATTGTAGAGGGGGGGGTAGAAATAGCCTAAGCTACTCTATCCCTTTGAGATGTATTTCTTGCTTATCTCAATAAACATACATGAACTTGAAATGAAAATATAAAAACGGAAACCACGTACAAAACTCAGGCAAATCATAACATAGAACGAAAAGGCAATGTAAAGGGTCTGGGTGTACTCATGTCGGAAGACCTTACCTTTAAAGAACACAATAAAGTAGCCGTCACAACTGCAAGAAAAATGACTGGTTGGATAACAAGAACTTTTCACACTAGAGATGCTATACCGATGATGATACTCTTCAAAACGCTTGTGCTCTCTAGAGTGGAGTACTGCTGCACAATGACAGCCCCTTTCAAAGCTGGAGAAATTGCTGACCTGGAGAGGGTGCAGAGATCCTTTACTGCTAGAATCCACTCGGTAAAACATTTAAACTACTGAGACCGACTAAAGAGCCTAAATCTGCATTCCCTTGAGCGCAGGCGGGAGAGATACATAATAATCTATACATGGAAAATAATTGAGGGGCTGGTCCTAAACCTGCACACAGAAATAACATCACATGAGACCAGAAGACATGGCAGGATGTGCAGAATACCCCCATTGAAAAGCAGAGGTGCAACAGGTACTCAGAGAGAACTCTATCAACATCAGAGGCCCGAGACTGTTCAACACACTTCCACTACACATAAGGGACATAACTGGCCGACCCCTCAGTGTTCAAGAGAGAACTGGATAAGCACCTCCAAAGAATACCTGATCAACCAGGCTGTGACTCGTACGTCAGGCTGCGAGCAGCCGCGTCCAACAGCCTGGTTGATCAGTCCGGCAACCAGGAGGCCTGGTCGACGACCGGGCCGCGGGGACGCTAAGGCCCGGAAGCGCCTCAAGATAACCTCAAGGGGATCTGGGCACAATGAAGTAAAGGCTTCTATCGTGGTCTGACTTGGGGGGCCTGGTTGCCCACTCCTCCAGTCCGGGTAATAATAACGTCAAAAGGTAATATAAAGTAACAGATAAAAGACTTTGCTGTCCAGCATCCCCACCCTAACAGAGCCCACCATTGGAGGCATAAGCACAAGGACAAGTAATGTCAGGGGGTAACCAGAACATTATATGTGGGCTACCATTGCAGGGCCGGATGATATACCCGGGACCAATAGGGGTACCAACCATACAATGCCCACTTAACCCCTTGTCTAACTAGATGGGACTAATCAAACAAGTCAAATGGTTGAGGTGGGTCACATTGAAAGTTTTAACCCCATCCCCTCACCAAAGAAGTGCATTGCATCCCCTGAGGTTGCAACTGCTGGATAGCCTCAACTTCCAGATGAAGGAACATAAGGGGACTCCGTACATGGCTAACATACGGGGATGTATTTCGCTTGTGCACCGCCACAGCAGGCAGGAGAAATGGAGGGAATTGTGAGGGAAAAGTGCCAAGACATTTACGACTATATAGTACTGGCAGGGATCAGGATAAGGATTTGGGATGGGACGGGGGGGGGGAAGGAATGGAGCCCAACCACTTGGACGGTCGGAGATTGAAAGCCGACCTGTATGAAGCGAGACTGTTGCTATACCGTCCAGTGCAAGTGGTTGGGATGGGACCAGGAGCTACACCCACCTCACCACACCAAGGTACCATCCACCACAGGCAGTGCACAAGAGGTCACCTCACCACACTAAGGTACCATCCACCACAGGCAGTACACAAGAGGTCACCTCACCACACTAAGGTACCATCCACCACAGGCAGTACACAAGAGGCCACCTCACCACACTAAGGTACCATCCACCACAGGCAGTACACAAGAGGCCACCTCACCACACTAAGGTACCATCCACCACAGGCAGTACACAAGAGGTCACCTCACCACACTAAGGTACCACCTACCCACAGGCAGTACACAAGAGGTCACCTCACCACACTAAGGTACCATCCACCACAGGCAGTACACAAGAGGTCACCTCACCACACTAAGGTACCATCCACCACAGGCAGTACACAAGAGGTCACCTCACCACACTAAGGTACCACCTACCCACAGGCAGTACATAAGAGGTCACCTCACCACACTAAGGTACCATCCACCACAGGCAGTACACAAAAGGCCACCTCACCACACTAAGGTACCATCCACCACATGCAGTACACAAGAGGTCACCTCACCACACTAAGGTACCATCCACCACAGGCAGTACACAAGAGGTCACCTCACCACACTAAGGTACCATCCACCACAGGCAGTACACAAGAGGTCACCTCACCACACTAAGGTACCATCCACCACAGGCAGTACACAAGAGACCACCTCACCACACCAAGGGGGGGCCACCACAAAAGAGGCCCCCCCTCAGGCAGTACACAACATAACCATAAGTTAATGGTTATGGGAATGTAAACATTAGTAAAAAGTTATGGGAAACTATAAGTAAACTGCAGAAGGAACCAAGTGCAGCACAAGATAAAGATAAAAAAAACTGAAAACAAGATCTCCAGAGACTCTGGCCCAGGCAACCAAACCCCAGGTAACAGGGGATGTAGCAATGGCAGGGACCCCTACAATGGGTGCCACCTTTGCTGATGTGCTGAAGATGTGCCCAGAAGCCATGTCCACAGTCCAGGAAGTTGTAATGAAAGCAGTAACTTAACAGGAGGCAGCAAGATGCACGAGCCAGCTAATGGAAAGGGTAAAGAGCTGTAGTAGTGGTAGGTATTAAGAAACAAGCAGGTTCCAAAAGGGAAGACTGGAGGACTAAGGACAAAGCTGCAGTGACAGGGATACTAAATGAGAGAGGAATG